AAGAGAGAAACAGCTCTATGTGAATAGAGTCACGGCTGTAAGATTCACGTTCTCTTTCTTGAGGTAAACTTGCATGCGGATTTCTCTGTTGAAAATGAGGTGGGCGACCCTGAGTCTTTCCTTTAAAAGTTGGGTTCTGGAGTCGGACTTGTCTGGGTGAGGGGTACAGGATTATAACAGATGGTGATGATGGGGAAAGGCAGCCAGGCGGAGGGACGGCAGGAGTACCGGAATGCACTCCTTGGAGAAGGCCAGGAGACGGGTGTGAACGTAGCTGGGGTTCTGTCCGGGAGAGTCCCGGTGAGGACTGACAGCCAGACTGTGGGAGATGGAGGGTGGCAGTGGGACTGCCCCTGGTTTCAGGTGGTGGCGTCCCTGCCTGGGTGCGGAGCCTTTGTCTCCGCTGTTGTCGCACTCTGTGTTGTATCACTTGGTTAGCGTCTGCTGCCTCCACTCGTCTGCCGGCTTCAGTGAGCACAGGCACTTTGGCTCTGCTCACCTCTGTACTCCCAGCACTGGTTGGAAGCTGCCTACATAATATTAATAGATGCTTGCAGCCATAAAATGAATGAGTTCATGTCCTTTGCAGGGACATGGTGAAGCTGGAAACCATCATTCTCAGCAAACTAACCCAGGAACAGAAAACCAAACACCGCATGTTCTCACTCATAAGTGGGAGTTGAGCCATGAGAACTCATGGACACAGGGAGGGGAACATCACACACCGGGGCCTGTCCAGGGGTGGGGGCAAGGGGAGGGAGAGCATTAGGACAAATGCCTAATGCCTGCGGGACTTAAAATCTAAATGGTGGGTTGATAGGTGCAGCAGACCACCATGGCACATGTATACCTAGGTAACAAACCTGCACGCTCTGCCTGCACGTGTATTCCAGAACATGAAGTAAAATAAAAAAAATACACATGCTTGATCCACATTTGGTCCATACACAGGTGGCTGGAGGGGTGAGTTGACAGGTGGAGGGAAGAGACGAATTTGTGTCAGTGCTTCTGACAAACGCGCGCTTCAGTACTTGGTTGGATTCTCCTCGGTGGTTTCCTTCTTTGCTCATCAATAGCCATCAAGCAGGACTAGGAACTGGCTGGTCCTTTCTGTGTCGGGGCAGATCAGGTCATCTGAGCTGCCCAGTGACTTGTGCAAATGACATTTGGCATCTGGCAAACCTTTGCCCGCCACATACATTATTTGGCCTGAAGCAGCTTGAAAAATAATATAAAAAACATGCGTTTTTGGAATCAGAGATGACTGGTTCAAACTTTAGTTCTATCTTTGATTAACTGTAAGCCTCTGAGGAGATTAGTTCTGTGGCTCTGGCTTCCTCAGGGATGATAAGAAGTTCCTCTTTCACGGTGTTGCGGTGAGAATCGAGTAACTCTTAGAGTGTCGAGCTGGCCTACAGTTAGTGTTCTCTTCGTTTTCACCTTTCATTTTTTTCATTGTGTCCTTTAAAATCACAATAAAGTGTTTATTTTACATATTTTTCCCTGAGTTTACAATGTTCATGCTCAGTATAGTAAACTTGGTCATACAATAAACTCAAACAATTAAAAACTTTATAACTGCTAGCATTTTGTATGTTACCTTCTGGTATTCTCTCTATAAATGAGAAAATTGGATGGGAATTACAGGTGTGAGCCACTGTGCCTGGCCTCTGTGACTTTATTCTATTATTTATAAAAATAGGATCATAATGTGCATATGATTTGTGAAGTGCTTTTCTCATTTTATCCACAAATATTTCAGTTATGTGTCTAAAAGATAAGGATTCTTCTTAAACACAAACGTAAAACCATTATTGCACCTAAAATGAGTAATAATCATTTCATCACCAACAGAGGCAATCACTGTTATCAGGTCTTGTGCGGGCTCCCAGAGATAGTCGAAGTACCTGGAAATATCTATGTAGTTTTTCCCTCATGCAAACGCTGGCATGATGGTCGTAGTATTTCGCACTGGGGGCTACCATTGAAGTGAGTTTCCTTTCAGCTCGCATAGATGTCTCTGTGAACAGGGCCAGAGAGGGCTCTGGCGTCCGGTTCAGAGGGCTCAAGGGGCTTGGTCTTGGTTGCATGTTTTTACTCTTTGAACTGAAAAATCTGCTAACGACCAAGCAGGTGTTAGCAGCCTCAGTCTCAACCGTTTCCATGGTTGCTCATGCGAAGAACAGAGCTGCCAGCGGTGGAGGCCAGCAGACACGGGCCCTGAGGCAGAATTCAGTCCTTCTCCAACTTTGCGTCGACCCTCAAAGAAATGCTTTTATTATTTACCTACTTATTTTTGAGATGGAGTTTTGCTCTTGTCACCCAGGCTGGAGTGGACTGGCGCAATCTTGGCTCACCGCAACTTCCACCTCCCAGATTCAAGCAATTTTCCTGCCTCAGCCTCCCAAGTAGCTGAGATTTCAGGCACCTGCCACCACACCCAGCTAATTTTTTGTATTTTTCATAGAGACAGGTTTCTCCATGTTGGTCAGGCTGGTCTCGAACTTCTGACCTCAGGTGATCTGCCTGCCTTGGCCTCCCAAAGAGTTGGGATTACAGGCATGAGCCACTGCACCCAGCCCAAGAAATGCTTTTTAAACTGTCAATTCTATGTGGTCTGACACAGAAAATATTTTGCAATAGAGATTGATCCAGAAAGTCAGGGATGTGTTTGCTGGCATGCTCTGGAGTAAAGTCCAGAGCCTGGGTCACCTTGGTCCGCTCTTAGAACCAGTCCTGCCCACCCTCAACCTTCAGGCTCCATAGCCCCACTCCCCCAGCTCCTGCCATCCCTCCGCAGTCAGGTCTGTGCCATCCCTACTCTCACCAGAACCTGCCTTCAGAAGGCCTCCCCCACCAGGCTAAGGTCGTGCCGCCTTAGCCTCCCTTTTCCTGTCCTCCCATTAATCGATCAATCCATGTACATCACGAACGTGACCCTATAAGGAGTCCAGTCGGCAGGGAAGGGAGCTAGGAGGCTGAACTTGTTCAAAGCTAAGCTCCAGGGAAGAGCAAAGAAGAATGAACCAATGCGTTGGAGACACCTCATCTGTAAAATGGATATTAAAAAATACAATGCATATAACAGCGCTCTGTCATCTGTAAAGTGCTGTACAAGCATAAGGGACTTGAATTTTTTTTTTTTTTTTGAGATGGATTCTTGCTCTGTCACCAGGCTGGAGTGCAGTGACACAGTCTTGGCTCACTGCAACCTCCACCTCCTGGGTTCAAGTGATTCTTCCTCCTCAGCCTCCCGAGTAGCTGGGACCACAGGTGCATGCCACCATGCCCGGCTAATTTTTTTGTATTTTTAGTAGAGACGGGGTTTCACTGTGTTGGCCAGCATGGTCTCGATCTCTTGTCCTCGTGATCCGCCCACCTGGGCCTTCCAAAGTGCTGGGTTTACAGGCGTGAGCCACCGTGCCCGGCCGGGACTTGAATTTTTATGAGAATGCTGATAACTTAAAAATAGGATCTGACATCCAATCAATGATTTTATAAATTAATTTTTAATGACAAAAGTGGTACTCATTCATCTTAGAATATATAAATAAAATATATAAATACACGAAACTAGAAAAATTCTCATAGTCTTATTACCTTTTGTTATCTGTACCTTCTGTTATCTGTATAGTATATTCCCTGTCTATCCCATGATACCTGTTTCTCTGGGAGAACTGTGGTTCCCTTGATGACAAATTTTGCCATGTGACTTACTCTGGATGGTTTTGCATAAATGAATGTAGCATGCGCCCCATCTGAGCAGAAGTTTTAAAAACCTTTGTGTGGTTCTGCCATCTTTTTTCCCCTTCTGTCATGAGATCAGCATACCTCAGGTAAGGGCCTTTCCACATTCCTGAGCCCTGGAATGAGGAGCCCTGGGAAGAACATATGTGGTGTTTTCCAGTCTGGATTTTGCTGATCGTGTTCCCATGGCGTCATTTAGCAGGTTCCTCTTTCCTTTGTATTTCCCATAAATTGCTGATTAAATGTAGAGTCTTAATCAGATCCAACGAACAGATTTAAAAACTCAATACATTATAAACATTTTCCATTTCATTTAATATTCTCCTGCCACGTTTTTTAAGTGTCTTTGGCACTGTCGACTGTGTGAATGTATTACATGTGAGAGAGAAGCATTTATTGTCATAAGCCCCTGAGACGTGGGGGTTGTTTGCTACTGCAGAATAATTTGCCTTAAGATACCCGATAACCTATATCCTTTAGTCCTTTTTCTGTGACTTTATTCTGTATATGCTTTCTTTATAAAAATAGAATCCTCATGTACATACGATTTGCAAAGTGTTTTTCTCATCTTATCTGCAAATATTTCTGTTATATCTCTAAAAAATAAGGATTCTTCTTAAACATAAACATGAAACCATTATTGCACCTAAAATGAATAATTTTTGCATTATCACCAAATAGTCATTGTATACATTTCTCCAACTTTAAAATATATATATATATATATATATATATATATATATATATATATATATAGTTTAAATCAGGAATCCAAATAAAATCTGTACTTTGCAATTGGTTGATGTGTCTTAAATCTCTTTTTATTTTTAGGTTCTCCTTCTCCTCTCTCTTTTTTCCCCTTGTAATGTTTTTGTTGAAGAAACTGAACAAGTTGTTCTGTCGAGTTTTCCAGTCTGGATTTTGCTGATTGTGTTCCCATGGTATCATTTAGCAGGTTCCTCTTTCCCCTTATTTCCCATAAATTGCTGATTAAATGTAGAGGCTTAATCAGATCCAATGAATGGATTTTAAAACTCAATACATTATAAACATTTTCCATTTTGTTTAATATGTGTTTACAACATGTGTTTAAGTATCTATAGAGCTGTCAACTGTATGAATGTATTACATGTATTTCAGTACTGTTGGACAAATGTTGTTTCCGGTTTTTGGCTACTACACACAACTCACTGATAAACCTCTTGTGAACTCATCATTTTCTGGCCTCCTTTCCACCCTTTCTGTTCCATCAGTTCCTGCGGATGGTGGATGCCTGTGCCAGCTTCCTCACTGAAGCCTTGAACCCAGAAAACTGTGTTGGAATACTGAGGCTGGCTGATACACACTCGTTGGACACTCTAAAGCAGCAGGTTCAGAGTTACATTGTTCAAAACTTTGTGCAGATTCTGAACTCTGAGGAGTTCCTTGACCTACCCGTGGACACTCTGCACCACATCTTGAAAAGTGACGACCTTTACGTGACTGAGGAGGCTCAGGTGTTTGAGACTGTGATGAGCTGGGTCCGGCACAAGCCATCAGAACGACTCTGCTTACTCCCCTACGTCCTTGAGAATGTGCGCTTACCGCTTCTGGACCCCTGGTACTTTGTGGAGATGGTAGAAGCAGATCCTCTCATCAGGCAGTGTCCAGAGGTCTTCCCGCTGCTCCAGGAAGCCAGGATGTACCACCTTTCTGGCAATGAGGTGAGTCAAAGATAATGGATGCTATATTTAACCAGTGAAGTAAGGAGTTAGCTAGGGACTCATAGAGATGCAAGTGAAGCGGATTCAAAAATCCTTAGGGCATTAAGGAGAAAACACTGCCCTGCTCATTGCTGAGTCAGGCAGTTCCAGAATCCCTGATTCCCGATCTGTGAGGCCGATCCCATGTGTTCAGACAGTTACTGAGAGGATTAGGTGACATGTAGAAATCACTCATCCGCATGCCTGGCCCATGCTTCCTCTTCCCAGCTGTGGAAGGGTGGGAGGTTGGGGCCACACTGCACACACAAATAAGAACATGCCCTGGGCCAGGCGCGGTGGCTCACGCCTGTAATCCCAGCACTTTGGGAGGCCCAGGCAGGTGGATCACAAGGTGAAGAGATTGAGACCATCCTGGCCAACATGGTGAAACCCCATCTCTACTCAAAATACAAAAATTAGCTGGCCATGAAGGTGCGTGCCTATAGTCCCAGCTACAGCTACTTGGGAGGCTGAGGCAGGAGAATCGCTTGAACCCGGGAGGAGGTTGCAGTGAGCCAAGATCGCATCACTGCATTCCAGCTTGGTGACAGAGTGAGACTCCATCTCCAAACAAACAAAACAAAACAAAACAAAAACAAGAACGTACCCTGTCTATTCACTATTCCATGGGGGTGCTGCTCGCCCTCGCCCACTCTGATGAAACCTTGCATCTCTTGGATTTGGACTTTCATCATCTAAATTTCCAGAAATTTCTCAAAACTCATCTCCCTGCCCCAAGTCTGGCCTCCCTCCAGTTTATTCACCAGCTGGAAGATCTGAAACCCAAGTCTGATCCTCCTGCTCCTGGGCTTGCCTCCTTCACTGGCTCCCCATCACCTTCAGGATAAAGCCCATACTTCCTGCCGGTGTTCCCAGAGCCTGGTCTTGCATCATTAACCTCCCGCCTGCTTCTTCAGCATCCTCTCCAGCCTTCCGCTTCTGCTGCAGTCCTGATGCACTGCTTGGGGTTCCCCAAAGTAGATGTGCTTTTTCTGCCTCCAGGTCAATACGAGTCAATACGAGTGTTGTTCAAATGCTTTCTCCTCTTCTTCATCCAGCTGACTTCTACTACTTCAAAACCCAGTCTACGCATCACTTTCTCCAGGGACTTTTCCATTTATTTATTTATTTAAGATGAGGTCTTGCTCTGTTGCCCAGGCTGGAATATAGTGGTATAATCATAGCTCACTGCAGCCTCGACCTCCCAGGGTTAAGTGATCCTCCCACCTCAGCCATCCAAGTAGCTGGGACTATAGGCATACGCTACCACACCCGGCTAATTTCTAAATTTTTTGTGCAGACAAGGTCTCACTATGTTGCCCAGGCAGGTCTTGAACTCCTGAGCTTAAGTGATCTTCTTACCTCAGCTCCCAAAGTGCTAGGGTTACAGGTGTAAGCCCCACACCCAGCCACTCTCCATGTTTTCACAGCACTTGGTGCATTGCTCTGTCAAGCACCAATTGCTGCACAATAACCATTTGAATTATCATCTGTAAGTATCTCTAGACTGGGAGCTTGTTATAGCAGGAAATGTGTCTTACTATACTTTTCATCTCCAGATCTTAGGAGAGAGTTCTAATACTGCTATATAGTGAATCAGTAATTAGTAAATGCTTGTTGAATGATTAAATGGGTACTATGAATGGTGAATAAACATATCATTTGGATCTACCTGGTTCTCCTTAACAATTCTTGAAGATTTTTATTCAGAACTTCATAAAGACAAGAACAAATTTAGTGGAGAGGAAGTGATGATATAGGAACAGCTTGTTAACAGTGTGTACACATGAACACTCATGCCTCACTATGCAGTGGTTCTGGGATTAGCTACCGAGCCTTCTTCATTAGGCCATTGGTAGAAGCCTTAGCCAAATGTGGCCCAGGGATTGTCTGAGTTTCTTTTGGAGTTTCTCCCTTTTTCTGTTGTGTTCTTTTCTAATTTTTTTGGTTGTCTTTAGAGGCACTGTTCATTCATTCACTCTGCAAACATACCCTTAAATGTGTAGTAGAATTTACCAGAGTGGTGCTTTCTTTGTGGAAAGTTTTTAAACTATAATGTATATCTCTTTAACAGATATAGGACTATTTAGGATCTCTGTTTCTTCTAGCATGAACTTTGATAGTTTGTGTCTCAAAGAACTTTTTCATTTCATGTAAGTTGCTGAATTTATTGGCATAAAGTTGTCCATAGCATTTCTTTATTATCCTGTTAATACCTGCAGAATCTATAGTATTGTCACCTCTCTTATTCCAAATATTGGTAATTTGTGTCCGCCCTGCTTTTTTTTTTCCTGATCAATCTGGTTAGAAGTTTATCAGTTTTACTGATTTTTCTCAAACAACTAATGTCTGGTTTCATTTGATTTTCTCTATTGTTTTTCTGTTTTCTATTTCACTTATTTCTGCTCTGATCATTATTTTCTTTCTTTCTGCTTAGTTTGGTTTAATGTGCACTTCTTTCTCTAGTTTCTTATGGTGGAAGTGGAGGCCACTGATTTGAGACTTTCTTTCTAATATTGGCTTTCATGCTATAAATTTCCCCCTAAAAACTACTTAAACAGCATCCCATGTATTTAAGGATGCTATGCCTTCATTTTTTGCAAATAAATTCTGAACACCAACTCTATGCCAGATATGGCACCAGGTACTGCAAAACCAGTCTGTGTGTCAGAGAAGATGGGACATTTAACAAATGAAGAATTATGAGTGGATTGATAGGGAAAGCCTAGGAAACCACATAGGCCCAATTCCATGCTGGCTGTCTAGCAGATAGCCTGCATATAATTGCAGACAGGTCTTAGTCTCTGCAATGGCCCTCAGTTTGGCATTTATTCAGAGTCTCCTGTGGAATACTACACAACCATAAAAAAGAATGCTATCATGTATTCTTTGCAGCAACATGGATAGAGCTGGAGGCCATTCTCCTAGGTGAACTGACACAGGAACAGAAAACCAAATGCTGCATGTTTTCAATTCTAAGTGAGAGCTAAACATTGAGTACACATGAACACAAAGAAGGGAACAAAAGATACCAGGGCCCACTTGAGGGTAGAGGATGAGAGGAGGGTGAGGATTGAAAAACTACCTGTCAGATACTATGCTTATTGGATACGGATGATGAAATAATCTGTACACTAAACCCCCATGACACGCAATTTACCTATATAACAAACCTGCACATGCTCCTGAACTAAAACAAAAGTTAAAATAAATAAATAGCACTTTAAAAACAACTTAAAAATAAACAGTGCCTTGCTCAAGTATACTTCCAATATTTGTGCTATTTTTATTTCTACTTCCTATTTTCTGAGTCTTTGAAATGCAGATGATAAAGGCTTTTCTCTGGCATAAAAGGTCCCTACCCTGTCATCTGCAAAATTGCTACAATGAAATATTTTCATTGCCTTTTGTATTTCCAAGGTGCTGGGGGCAGAGTCAGGCATTATACACTTTAGATTTAGGAGGAGACAGAATTCTGACATCTGGAGGATTCTTCGGCGGTGGAACCTGGGCTTTGAGTCAGGCAGAGATCTGGGTGTTTATCTTGATGGCACCATTTATTTACAGTATAACCTCAGGCAATTGCTTAGCTACTCTAAGGCTCAGCTCTGATCTGTAACATGGGATAATAATACCTGCCAACTGACAGAACTGTTCTGAGAACTAGCTAATGAATGGATGCTCAGTACAGTGTCTGGTGCACGCTGAGTGTCCCACAAATGGAAGCTGTTGTCATTGCCATTGGATCCTTTGTCGTTGCCTCATCTCTCACAATCATTTTTCTTCTCTGGGGCTAAAATCGGTCTTTTCACTGTGTCCCAGGATTTTGTGGCCTGATTTTCCCAAATCCTTCTCGAGGTGCTGTCTCATCCTCATTTTATAGTTAGGGCAACTGAACCAACCAGCCAACGACCAAGGCCCTCCCAACTGGGGTCTCATTGCCAGTTGAGATCCTGGGAACCCAGTCTGCTCACTGCTGGCACGGCCTTGGGCTGACTCCTGTGGCAGCAGAGTGAGCCTGAAGGCTGCTCTGTGAACACCCTTCTCCCCACCCTTCATTCACCAAACTCTAACCCTCTTATCCTATCATCACCTTTCTTTTTTAACCTTGCCTGTCCTCTACACGGGCGGTAATGACAGGAAATTTTAGAACACCAAAAGCAAATGTCAGTCTCCATTTGATTTGGGAGTGGTAGCTGGAACCTTCACTGAAGAGGTCTTTGGGGACAGAGGAAAGTTGCCTCTTCACTTAATTGCCTCCTACGTTTTCAGACATGAACTTGGTCTATAGCAAAGGTGACTCTGATGTATGTGATATGGGAAAGGGGGCAGAGGCTCCAGCCCAATGACATCTTTGCTGAAACAATATGATCACTCTGTCCCCTGTACAGCGTCTGCCGAGAGTGCGCAGGCACTAAGGTACAATTATCTGCTCTGTTTTGAACAATCTGAAAGTAAACTGGTTATGCCTGATCGTTGCATGCAATTCACTGGAAAACACTTCTGTGTCTGCAACAACCTGGCACGTCTCAGACTTCAGATTGACATTTGTCATGACTTTGGAGTTAATATTTTGCCAAATGTAGCTGAATTTACAACGTGGTAATGGTGCCACCACTTGGCAGCTCTACGGTGCAGAGTTCTAAGGCAGGTTCCATTACCCCAGCCAAGCCCATCAGCTAGATGATTGTTAGTTATCAATTGCTCCATAACAAATTACCCCCAAACTGAAAAGTTTAAAATAACAAACACTTACTATCTAACAGGCTCTGAGTGTCAGGAATCTAGGAGTGGTTTAGCCGGGTGCTTCTGGCTCAGGGTCTCTTAGGAAGTTACAGTAAAACTGTTGGCTGGGACTGCAGTAATCTCAAAGTTCCAGTGGGATTCAAGCTCACTCACTGGACTGTTGGCAGGCATCAGATCCTTGCTGGCTGCTGGTTGGGAGCCTCAGTTTCTTGCCACATGGGCATCTTAACAGCTGGCGTCCCCCAGAACAAATGATCTAAGAAAGATGGCAAGAGTAATCTGGATGCAAGCTGGAAATGCCTGTTACAGCCTCACCACTTCTGCTGTGATCTGTTGATCATAGAGACCGATTCTAGAACAGTGTGGAGGGAACTACACAAGATGCGAATACCAGGAAGCAGGGCCACTGCGGGCCATTGTGGGTGCTCACTACCACAGTAGTTTAGACTGAGTTACCTCGCTCGCCCATTCATTCACTCCTCCATTCACTTTTTGTTTTGTTTTTTGAGATGGAGTTTCGCTCCTGTTGCCTAGGCTGGAGTGCAATGGTGCGACCTTAGCTCACCACAGCCTCTGCCTCCCGGGTTCAAGAGATCTTCTGCTTCAGCCTCCTGAGTAGGTGGGATTACAGGTGCCCATAACACCCAGCTAATTTAAAAAAATTTTGTAAGTTTTTAGTAGAGACGGGGTTTCACCATGGTGGCCAGGCTGGTCTTGAACTCCTGACCTCAGTGATCCACCCACCTCGACCTCCCAAAGTGCTGGGATTACAGGCTTGAGCCACTGTGCCCAGCTCATTCACTCGTTTAGTCAATGTTTATAGACGTCCATAAGCTCTGGGTACTGTTCTTGGTGCTGAGGATCCACTGGAGAAAAAGGGCCATTCCTGCCATCAGGGTCTTACAATAAATTACAATGAAGCATGAACAGTGCCATTGTGGGGAAATTCAGGGTTATGGGAATGTGTGCAAAGTTAGGAATGCTTCCTGGAGAAAGGGACAAAGTGTTACATGGTAAATTACTCACCATGCCTTAAAGGGTAAGTGGGTTGGGGTGGTAGCATGGGGAATTGAGAATAGAATATTATGGGGAGATCCAGGCAGCAGTCAGGAACCCAGGGATTTCAGTCAGTAGGAAGAGAGCCTTTCATTGGTCAGGACCAAGGAACAAGGTGCCAGCCCTGGGGGTCATGGCTAGTCCAGTTCTCCTAGTGGCCTCTCAATCACTCAACAGGTTACTGGGGCAGGAGAGCAGGCATTGCAAATAAGATGGGGGAACCTTCAAAGTGAAGGCCGAGGCCTGGTTCCCAGAATGGAAGAAAGTGTCACAAGGGAATCCATTCTGGGTGGCCCGTGCTGTTTTCAAAGCATTGCCTGCAACACCTAAATGCCCTCTAAAGGAGGACCAGATTGGTGCTGGAGGCTGTGCCTCAGCTGTGGGGCATGGGGTTTAGGGACAGGAACCAGGGCTGACAGCTGGAGAGAAAGTTGCAGAGCAGCAAAGCTTGGCTTTGGTGCTATTGCCCAGACCTTGTCCTGCCAGCTTGGTGCTCTCATGGTGCCTCCAGGCTCCCTGGCCCACCCCTCCACCCTTCCCCCAGTACCATTCTGCTGTCCACACCCTCGCCCAGTCCATTGCCTAGGCTTTGTCCCCCAGCCACACCCATCCCTGACCTGTAAGGAATAGCCGCCACAGATGTTATGGCCATGGTCCAGCCTCAAGAACTGAGGATGCAGAATTCACCGTACCAGGCTCCGAGGCACAGAAAGCCAACCAACCGAACAAAGACTGTTACAGAGAAGTCGAGGCCGGGAGTCGGCTGGTCTGATTATTTGTGGCTCCAGGTTGCATTCACTACTTGAGGGCTCAGTGTTTGCTACTGTAACCCATTTGTCACCACCTGTGGGCAAAATCGAAGTTCTGTAGTCTGTATTAGACCAGCCTAATTTTGTAGGGAAATGGGTGACTTTGGCCATCTGGGAAATGGTGGCTGCCTCTCTGCCTCCCATCAGCACTCCTATGGAACCTTCGCCATGGAGCCCAGGGGGCCAGTGGAACCAGGGAAGGGCAGCTCTTCCTTGTATAGCAATATCAAGATGGCACCTGCCACTGCTCCTACAGGCATGACTGTTGAGGAGCCAGTATGTGCTGGGTGCTCTGCTCACACCTCCACCTCATGGCCTTACGAATGCTCACAATCATCTGAGAGCAGGGAAATGAACAAGTGGTTTACAGAGGCTGTGTTGCTTCTCCAAGGCCACGTGGCCATCGGTGATAGGACCCTGGTACCCTTGACTTGCAAGCCTGTGCTTTTTCAGCGGAGTCCAAATGCCCATAGCACGGATTTCTTCACTTGTCAGAAGCTCTGCGAGGTCATACACTGTGTGTTGGAACCAGTCTTCCCGCCTTCCTGGCCACACCCCGATTCCTTCTAGTTCTTGTTTCCTGAGTCTCTGAATGCTCTATGTGTCACTGTCCAGGATGTCTCTTCCAGAAGGCTGACGGGGAGCAAAGTCTGAGATCTCATCAAGAAATTAAAGGCAAGGGGGAAAGTCCAAAATGAAATTCCAGGATTTAAGGTTTCAGACCAGGCAGGAGAGGAAAGGCAGGAAGTGCCTCTGATGGTATAGACCCCGACCTGTTAAAACAGCAACAAAAACAGGTAACATTTATTGAGCACCTATTATGTACCAGGCCTGAGTAAAGCACACTACATACATTATCCCACTTCATCCTGGAAACACACCTACAAGGTAGTTACCTCTAATACCGCATGATACAGATGATGAAGCCGAGGCTCAGGGAGGTGAAGTCACGTGGTCATGCCGTGGCAGGTGTGGGAATTGGAGCCTGCTCCTATTGGCTTCGTGCCCTGAGCTCTGAACCATTGTGTTGTCCTGCCTTTATGAACCCCTATTGATTTCCAGATCATATCGGAGCGCACCAAGCCCAGGATGCACGAGTTCCAGTCCGAGGTGTTCATGATCATTGGCGGCTGCACAAAGGATGAACGGTTTGTGGCAGAGGTGACCTGCCTGGACCCCCTGAGGCGCAGCCGCCTGGAGGTGGCCAAGCTCCCGCTAACGGAGCACGAGCTGGAGAGTGAGAATAAGAAGTGGGTGGAGTTTGCATGCGTGACATTGAAAAATGAGGTCTACATCTCAGGTAAGCAGGAGCCACGTGAGGCCAAAGCCAGCCGCCAGTAGCACTATGTATGTTGCCGAGTGGCAGCCCGGCAACCATCCTAGAAGAATGACTGTGACTTGGTGACGATCTGGCTCTGAGTAAGACGGGATGTGGACCCAGGAGCTCAGGTGGTCTTATCGTGAAGGCACACTGCTACTCAATAAACACTAAACTGTGAGCAGCATTGCACTATTTTTTGTCTTTTTCTTTTTCTTTTTTTTTTGTTGAGATGGAGTCTTGCTCTGTCCCCCAGGCTGAACTGCAGTGGTGCGATCCTGACTAGCTGCAACCTCCAACTTCCCAATTCAAGCAATTCTCCTGCCTCAGCCTCCCAAGTAGCTAGGATTACAGGCACCTGCCACCATGCCCAGCTAATTTCTGTATTTTTGGTAGAGACGGGTTTCACCTTGTTGGCCAGGCTGATCTTGAACTCCAGACCACAGGAGATCCACCCACCTCACTCTCCCAAAGTGCTGGGATTACTATAAATTGAACCACTGTGCCTGGCCCAATTTTTTTGTATTTTAAGTAGAGATGGGGTTTCACCATGTTAGCCAGGCTGGTCCAGAACTCCTGAAATCAAGTGATCCGCCCGCCTCAGCCTCCCAAAGTGCTGGGATTACAGGCGTCAGCCACTGCACCCGACCCACATGTTATTATTTTGTGAGAAATGTGTCGTTCGCTTTTTAATGATACAAGCAGAACCTGAAAGCATGCTTGTTATACACGGTTAAAGAAACAGAAACTTGTACTTCAGTTAACAATATAATCTAGACCTGAGGGCATGCTGGTTTAATGGAGATACATATTGAGTGAGATAGTTACCACGTGCCAAGCACAGCGTCCTGCCAAGCACATGGTGGGAGCTTCATTACACTGGCTGGTATCATCGCTACTGATTTTACCAGCTATATCACAGTCTACCAAATGGATGAACCAAGATTGTTTCAGCTTTCTTTGAAAAACCTCTTTAAAAAATACTGCAGTAGGCATTCTTAGACACATATAGTTTTTCATACTTGTGCTGCTACTGGAAAGTTTCCTGGAAGTGGTCATATGTGAACAGGCAATTTCGTATATGTTGCAAAATTGTCCTGCAGAAAAGTCAGACCAATTTACAGTTCAATCAGTGATGAATGGTGGTGCCCATTTTCTTTATCCTTGGTAACGATTTTTATTATTACTCATTTAAATTTTTAATAGACTAGAATGTTTAAATTTACATTCCTAGGTCATCAGTGAGGTTGAGCATGTTTTATATATTTACCAGATAATTGTATTTATTTTTAAAATTATCTGTTCATACCCTTCGACAGTTTCTATCAGATTTTTGTCTTTTTCTTACTAACTTTTTGGAGCTCTTACTATTTATCCTTTGCTATTTGCGTTGTGAATATTTTCTCCTAGACTGTGGTGGTTTTTAAACTTTGTATTTATATAGTTTTCTTTCCTATACAATTCTACGTTTCCTGTTATGCTTAGAAACCCCTCGTAACCCCACGGTCATTAACATAATCTCCTATACATTCTCCAGTTACTTCTAGAGAAGTAACATTTGAATTTTGCTTTAAATGTAATGTAAAATAAGTATCTAACTCAATTTTCATCCAAATGAATAACCAATTGTTCTAATAACATTTATTTAATGATCTGTATATATTTTAGTCTGTTCTGTGCTGTCAGTTTGTCTAGTACTGCACTGTTTGTATTATAATAGCCTTTTAGTATATTTTAATATTTGATAAGGAAAGCCTTCTTCTTCACTTTTCTTTTTCAAAAGTTTCTTAGAAATTTTTCCAAACTTAATCTTCCCAGTGAAATTTAAAATTATCCCATCAACTTCCCCCCAAAAGTCCTGAAGGCATTGTGTATATAGATTACCCCAGGGAGGGCTGACATCTTCACAATAATGTGTCTCATTTATGCACACAATATGCTTTCTCAAGTTTTTTTTTTGGTCCTAAAATAAAATAATAGGTTTTCTTCTTTTCCTTTTATAAACGTTGCATACATTCCTTTGAAATTTTATAGTTATTTTATACTTTTTGATGCTACCTAAATGGGGTCCGTATCACAGTGTTTTGAATAAATGGAGACCTCTGAAAGGTACCCCACGCAAAGAAAAATGGCCAAACTGTGAACAAAAGATTCATGGAAGAGGAAGCAGCCTCCCTTGTAGTGAGAAAAAAAACAAACTGACATAGTTTTTCTTTGTCAGACTGTTAAAAAATTTTTTTAAAAGAGAACAAAACCACCACCACCCTCAAAAAGTGGGTTTGAGGAAAAGTCGCCCAGCACAGCTGTGGAGGGTGCTTTGGTTACACCTATAAAAGTTCAGGTGCACATGCCTTTGACTTAGAAAACCCGCTTCCGGGCTCCACACCAGAGAAACGCCCCGACACAGTGGCTGGTCAGCAATGGTCATTTCTGCACTATTGCACACGTGTACGTCTGCAAAGTAAATCTTTGCTTCCAGTCGTTGGTGGTACTCTATGGGAAAATGGAAAAACAGAGCTGTGAAATAGTTGATTAAAATCAGAAAAAGTCAGTTCTCCCTTTTCTTCGTCTCTTCCCCCAGCTGCTGAATTACATATTTTCTGTTTTTTAGGAGAGCTGTCTTCAAGAAAATATTTACCAGGTCACTCTCAAATGATCTGTTAGGGGCATCTCATACTCTTCTAACAAATTAATTTAGAAATAGGATCAGTCTCACTGATCTTTTTATATAGATCAGAAAGACAAACCAAGAGAATGTTGTACGATTTCTTGGTGATTTTTGCAGGTCTGTATCTTTGCTTTTTTGTTTAAATAAATAAGTCAACATAGAACTTAAGCTGCCATGTAATTTTCCTTCTGGACAAAGCCCACTGTCCCTGCCCAGCCTTACTTTCTGCTCCTTGTGAGCACAAACGCTGAGCCCAGGCTCCCTCGGGCCCCCACCCACCCAGGCTGACTTGGGGCCTACCCTCTGAAGCCTTCCTGGGACACCGCTCACTTAGCCACCTCTTCTCTGAACTTTGCCTGCACTGAGGTGGCACATGGCACCGTGGGGCGCACAATGCATTCTGTCCTTCGCTGTCCCCCTGCGTTTGCCTTGTCTCCCCCACCAGACTGCACACACCTTCAGGGCTGTTTTGATCTCCCCTCAAGCTGGGGCTGGCCTAGGAACCTGGCATTTTTGGACATGCGGGATGTTATGGGAGATGCTGTATTTCTGACATATCTGCTGGTTTCTTAAATGCTTTTTATCTCTTGCAGGTGGCAAAGAAACACAGCATGATGTTTGGAAATATAATTCTTCAATCAACAAATGGATTCAGATTGAGTATTTAAACATAGGCCGCTGGAGGCATAAGATGGTGGTGCTGGGCGGTAAGGTCTATGTGATCGGAGGCTTCGACGGCTTACAGAGAATCAACAATGTGGAGACCTACGACCCCTTTCACAACTGCTGGTCGGAGGTAGAGGAGATGATTTCGTTTTTCTTTTCTTTCTTTCTTTTTTTTTTTTTTTTTTTGAGATGGAGTCTCACTCTGTTGCACAGGCTGGAGTGCAGTGGCACGATCTTGGCTCACTGCAACCTCTGCCTCCCGGGTTCAAGTGATTCTCCTGTCTCAGCCTCCTGAGTAGCTGAGACTACAGGCGCCCACGACCACACCCAGCTAAGTTTTATATTTCAGTAGAGATGGGGTTTCACCATGTTGGCCAGGCTGGTCCTGATCTCTTGACCTTGTGATCTGCCCGCCTTGGCCTCCCAAAGTGCTGGGATTACAGGTGTGAGGTATCGTGCCTGGCCAGGAGATGATTTCTATGACTAACTGTCTGTATTATTACTTCAATGTTTTTTTTTTTTTTTTTAAATGCTTGGGAATGTACCTACAGTGGTGGCCAGCTTTCTGATCACATTACTTCTGAGGAGAACATTTTTGGTGGCTCTGAGCTTCCCTCCTTCTGGAAGCCCATGCTTTTTGCTGATTAAGTCACAGAAACAATGTCTTCCAGGTGGTGAAGGTCTGTGTGGGCACCGTCCTAATCCGGCCAGAGCCCCAGATGTGAGCAGAGGCTCACGCCGTCATGCACAGCAGCTCTCTTGGTCTGCATGTCCTGGCCTAGGGTCCTGTCCCCTCAGATGCCTTCTCTCCTATTCTTCTCCACACTGGACACAATGCAGATCACTTTATTACACCATTTGTGAACCCAGAGTTATTCCGTCATGTTAGAAATTGTCCCCTCGTTATTTTCTCATCCATGAAGAGCCACTTACAGGCCTGCATGTCAGACTTTAGCAGCACAACCTCAGGCATATACCACACCAGGAAAAGAAAAGCCACCTGATCTCATTTCCAGGCTATTCCCAATTTCCAATTTTCTTTCTCCTTATCAAATCAGATGTCCGAGCATGTCCCAGCTTAATGGAGAGTACAACACCGTCACTGTAGGCACAAGCAGAGGCAGCCAGGTCACCACATCATGTAGTCAAGACTGTCAGCCTGAAAAGTGCTATATGGACAGCTCCTAGCATTTGCGGGGACCTGCCCAAGATCTTCTCAAAACAACTCCTATCCCAGAGCTGCTCCATGATCAAAAGGGTCATGTAACTGGGCAAGAGGCTCCTTTAGTGTGCAGGGGTTCCCAGGGTAGAAGCACATGTCTGACTTAATCTCAAAAGCCTCAGTGTTGCCCTGTAGTGGAAGAGCCCGCTTACCTGTGGCCACCTTAAACCCATATACCAGCTTTTCTTCCTAGACATAAGCACCAAGGAAAATCAATGCTGGTACACAGTAGGCACTCCATAAATATTTTTTTGAGTGGATGAGCACATGAATGAATATGAACATGCATGTATAAAAAAATCATATTCCTGAGCTGGGCGTGGTGGCTTACACCTGTAATCCTGACACTTTGGGAAGCCGGGGCAGCTGGATCACCTGAGGTCGGGAGTTAGACTCCAGCCTGATCAACATGGAGAAACCCTGTCTCTACTAAAAATACAAAATTAGCCGGGCGTGGTGGTTCATGCCTGTAGTCCCAGCTACTCTGTACGCTGAGGCAGGAGAATCGCTTGAACCCGGGAGGTGAAGGTTACAGTGAGCTGAGATCGCCCTATTGCACTCCAGCCTGGGCAACAAGAGCTAAACGCTGTCTCCAAAAAAGAAAAAAAGAAAAAAAAAATCATTTTCCTCCAGCATTGGCTGACTTCATCTGTATAAATTTATTCGTGCCTATCCTCCTCCTTCCCTGAGAGCTGGACTCTGGGAGAGGCTGGCACATCCCAGCACACAGCTGGCTCTAGGTTGTGTGGAGCCTGGAGGGAGGGTTGGAAATGCATGCTTTCATTCTCGCTGGGTCTTAAGAGGAGTGCAGCGCATGGGCCTTGTGACTTTAGGCAAAAGCTGCCCAGTTCTGTGTCCTGGAGCTCCGTCCTGCACCCTGGGAGATGCTGCAGCAACCTGGGCAGTGTGACTGACAGCTGCTTCTTGTGCCCTGTGCCCCACAGGCCGCGCCCCTCCTTGTCCACGTCAGCTCCTTTGCAGCCACCAGCCATAAGAAGAAGCTCTACGTGATTGGGGGAGGGCCCAACGGGAAACTGGCCACGGACAAGACGCAGTGTTATGACCCGTCAACCAACAAGTGGAATCTGAAGGCGGCCATGCCGGTGGAGGCGAAATGCATCAATGCAGTGAGTTTCCGGGACCGCATCTACGTTGTTGGTGAGTAAGGGCTGCTTATTCATCTGCATAGCTTAGAGCTGGATTCGTGCCTGGCTGCAGCACAGAAAGGGTGTGTCGCAGTGTCTCCAGCGCTGGCCACTCACTGCCCCTGGGACCCGCTCTGGTTTTCAGAGGAGCCATCAATCTACTGTTTCTCTTGGGAAGAGGGGAGACATGGCCTAACCAGAAGCTGAGTTTTAGTGGTTCAGAGCGAAGAAAGCAGAAACTGGAGGGATGCCCACCGTGTTCCCTCCCTGCCCTCAGGTGGAGCCATGAGAGCGCTGTATGCCTACAGCCCCCTGGAAGACAGCTGGTGCCTGGTGACCCAGCTCAGCCACGAGCGGGCCAGCTGCGGCATCGCGCCCTGTAACAACCGGCTCTACATCACCGGCGGGAGGGACGAGAAGAACGAGGTCATCGCCACCGTGCTGTGCTGGGACCCCGAGACCCAGAGGCTGACGGAGGAGTGCGTCCTGCCCCGGGGCGTGTCGCACCACGGCAGCGTCACCATCAGGAAGTCGTACACCCACATCCGCAGGATCGTGCCTGGAGCGGTGTCTGTCTGAGCGCAGGATGGGGAGCTGGGGAGCCGGTTGACCCTCAGCGCGCCCGCCTCACCGCTTACCCTCCTCCAGCCCCACTGCAGGCAGCAGCCTCGAGCTGGAGGCCGTACATCGGGGGCTCACTTTGGGGGAATCTTGGAAGTTCCAGTCTGGCGACACTTAAGACCAGCCAGAAATGTTTGCATGACCTACCTCAGAAGGGGAGGTGAGGAAGGGTGACAGCGTCTCAGGACCCACCTACCCTATGCCAGCTCTGTGCCAGGCACTTCCTTCTATCAGTTCATTCAACCTGGCGACTGGCTTTTATTACTTCTGGTTCCCTCGGTGAGGGCACCGAGTTCACAGAGGCTAAGTGGTGTCCTCTGGTCACTCAGCAAGTACCTACCCCAGGAGTCTAAAACCCAGGTCTTTCAGCTTCAGAGTCAATGCCCTTTCCACCATGCTGCCTATCTCAGAGCAGGAAAAACCAAAAACCAAAAACCAAACCTGGTTCATGCCGGGCGCGGTGACTCACGTCTGTAATCCCAGCACTTTCGGAGGCTAGCTTAGGGGAGATCACCTGACCAGCTTGGTCAACATGGTGCTACCCGCCCCCATCTCTACTAAAAATAGAAAAATTAGCCAGGTGCAGTGGCAGGCACCTGTAATCCCAGTTACTCGGGAGGCTGAGGCAGGAGAATCACTTGAACTTGGGAGGTGGAGGTTGCAGTGAGCCAAGATTGTGTCACTGCACTGCAGCCTGGGTGACAAAAGTGAAACTCTTGTCTCAAAAACAAAAACAAAAAATCTGGCTCATTTCTTTTTTCGGCAAGTCTGCTAAAAGATCACTCAGAGAGGCAGGGAAATAAAGGTGTTTCCTGTTTTCCTTCCTTTTCTTACTCTGCATCCCCCCTCATCCCCCTCCTTTACCAAAATTTAAACCAAGGAGTCATTTGGGCTCCTTGTCAAGAACATCTAATAGGTTCTTCCACTCGAAAGGTCTGGGGGGATGGGCTTGGGAAGGCCTGTTTGCTTTGAAAGAGATGAAATACTTGTGTTCCGTCCTCCTCCCATTGAAAGCCTTTTTTTTGAGACGGTCTCACTGTCACCCAGGCTGGAGTGCAGTAGCGTGATCTTGGCTCACTGCAACCTCCGCCTCCCGGGTTCAAGTGATTCTTCTGCCTCAGCCTCCCGAGTAGCTGGCATTACAGATACTTGCTACCATGCCCAGCTAATTTTTGTAGTTTTAGTAGAGACAGTGTTTCACCATCTTGGCCAGGCTGGTCTTGAACTCCTGATCTCGTGATCCACCCACCTCAGCCTCCCAAAGTGCTGGGATTACAGGCATGAGCCACCGTGGCTGGCCTTTTTTTTCTTTTAATGATCATAAGATGACCCATTTTGGACCAGAACTGTCATTGCCAGACAGAATTGTCCCTTCAGCATGGTCTGGTGCCCTGGCCTCTTAGCGTCCACCAGTCCACCAGTCGTACTGTAATGTAGCAAACATGTTTCTAGAGACTCAAACTACTGTTTTATTTAAAAAGTAAACACCCGAAGACAGCTGGCCTCTGCAGGAACGATAGATACACTTGCTAGTTTTCACACAGTGATTTAGATCCATGTTCCTGATAGCCCATCCTCCTGAAACCTTAGTTTTCAGGACTTTCTAAAAAGCATTTTTGACTTGGTTTTTTGATCAGTGTAGCTCAACTGTGAGAGTAGAATCTGTCCTTCACTGTAAGAGTTAGAGCTCTCAAATGAGCTCACTGGAAACTCCTTCTAATCCCCAAGCTGGAGAAACAGGTTAAGAGATCCTGTTTCATATGCTGTATTTAAAAAGCAACAATGATAGCAACATAGTGACTGCATTACCCAATGGACTTTATTTCATCATATGATTTCAGTTCTCTTTATAGAGTTTATTTCATAGCCAGAGTGGCTTGTTCCTCTCAGGAGTTTGGGAAGTTAGAGTATTGGAGTTGATAGTGAATTTAATTTTCATTAAAAAGTCATGGTTAGAAGCTAATATCTGAAACAGATTTTAAACCCTTGGAAACTTACAGGTGAGATTTCTGTTTATGCCAGATTGTTGAAGATAAATATAAATGTTTATTGGTGTGTGAAAGGCTCTGTGCCTTAGAGGCATGACAGTTCAGCTCTCTGCTGTGAAAAGTAAGACAGGGCAATATAAGCATATTTGTGGAAATTTAGGACAAACTATCACTTACTCATGAGCACTATAATAGCCATCACAAAGCTCCCAATGGAAGCAAACATTCATGGAGTTCTTCATGTTTTTCAAGCCTTGAGGACACCAATGAATGACAAATCTCCATGCTAGACACTCAATACGGATAAATAGGCCACTAGTTATATTCTTGTTTTTCTTTTCTTCAGGTTAGCTAAAATTAGATCACATGAAGTTATGAGGCTGGATCCAAGTCTCGGTTGCCTTTCAAGGGGTCAAGGTGGTAAGCAGTGCAGTAAAGTCACCCAGCGGCCATTGCTTACCTGTTTGTCTTTCCGAGGTCACCACCAGAACCATTTGTGAACTACAGGAAAAAAATCTGTGTTGCTCCAAACACTACTGCAGGGAGGAACTTGGGAGAGGAAATCCAGTGACAGCGGTATTGGCACACACAGGGAGCCTCCCCTCAAAAAGAGAGCGCTCCTTGTCAGGGAGTGGATGGCAGGCCTTTGATAAGACCTATTGGCAAACTTTGAGCCCATCAACAGGTCAACCCTATACTGAGTTAGGTCAGTATAGGTCAATCCTATACTGGGAAAGTGAGAATTTGGGATTTCTGTGCTCTAAACCTGATTCTAAATGTAGGACCCAAGTTTTTGGACTACTTCAGAATACCTACATGAATCACGGAAGCAGTCTTTATGATTTCTTATGGCACCAGATATGCAGGTGAATTGTGGAAAATTTCATGTAGCTGGCACTCAAGAAATAGGGATTCCTAATGATGGCATGGGGTAGGGAACAGATACCCCTATTTAGAAGACCCAGGGTTCTGTATTTGAAGCTGCCCTTGAACTCAAAGCCAGTCTGTAGCTCTTAGAGAAAGAAAGTTCAAGTCATTTGGGGGAAACTTAAGTATAGTCATCAGGGTTTTCGTTTCTAGGCACTTGCCAGGGGTGAGAGCTTCTAAAATCCAAAATCCATTCCAAGAAATAAAGACAAACACATTTGCAGGAAGGTAACTGTTATCACCCCACCCTCAGTTGGGGGAAAGCCAAGCTGGGAATTAACCCAGAGACAAAGAGCCCTCAGACTCAGGCAGGACGTGGCAGGGTGTCCCAGCACAGCAGACTGGATGTTACGGCAGATCCTGGGAGTGGACGAAGCACCCCAGGCTGGGAAGACACAGATAGGGTAGGAGGAGGTCAGCTTCCAAGGATGCAGGTCTGGAAAATGATATGAGGGGCCCTGGAGTTTGTGAGCTTGACTCTAGTCCCAAGAAGGGTAAGGGAGAATTCCAGGCCAGGAAATAAGGAAGGAATCCACTTTTTAGAGCAGAGGCACAAGCTGGAGCAGGCCCGGCATTTGGGCCCACTTGCTGTGGGGCCTCTGAGCTGCTCAGCTGGGTCTCCTGTCCTAGAGAGAAGGTGGCCCAGAGTTTTGGTGGAGCAGAATCTGTAGATGAGGTTAAGGGACCCTGGTTGCCAAGGCTGATCTCAAACAGCAGGGAGCTAAGCTTGTCACAACACCAGCAGGTTCACATTCTTAGTTTTCATCTATTCTGATCTCAATGGCTTCAGGAAACACACACATATACCGTGCCCTTGAACTCAAAGCAAACTGTGCACTCAGGGAAATACAAATATCATGTTCTTATAGCTGTAAAGTATAGCTTAGCTGTTTATAGAAGTCATTGAGGTACTGTTGTTAGTTATTTACTTAGCCTGTTTTATTTTGAAAAATAAACATACTCAATAGAATTTTAAACTTTGTAACCACCACAGGGATTTCTTGTGTAAGTCCCAACTTGGGGTTGCAAAATCATTTTTTCCCTTAATATCTAGGTGTTATATTACATCTCATAATTTTAAGAGTCAATCTTTATAGAAATCCACACATATCTCAAATACGGCTACTGCAACACCAGTTTTGACAGGTCAGATTTTCATATGTATAGGTATAAATAGACAACACTCAGTGAACAAAACCCTTTAAGCATTTTGGTTACATAAAGTTGTATATTTTAAGTGATCAAACAAAGATGAAACTATATTGTTTATAGGTTTTAAAAACCAAGCCAATAAAGTTTTTATTTATTCAATAAAATATGCACAGAATGGCTGAAAATGTTTTCTATACAATCACAAGGTTATGTATATATATATGTGTATATATATATATATATATATATTTTGCTGTTTTTGGTGTATATAAGTAAGTGATGTCTGAATAGAAATTAATTTAGAGGACAGAAATTTAAATCAGTTCAGTCAGTTCAAGGGGTTTTAGATAAGCTCACAGGTTAAAATTCACCAGGCTTGATTTACAAAATGTCAAAGAGCAGACAGCGTTTCCCTCCCTAAAGAGGCACTGCTTGGCTGAGCAAGCCTTTACCAACCTATAGCAAACTGTGTGACTCTCCTCTTGCCCGGCCTCACCTCTTCTTACTGGAGACCCCCTTCTAGGCTTTTGATTGCGGGTCTGCCTCTCAGTTCACCTCCACCACGGCTCCTGTGTTGTCTCTGAAGCCCTCCCTCATCTGTGCTTCTCAAATTGGGACATGTGTAACTTGGAGTATGAGACTTCCCTCTGACCACTGGAAACCGTGTCATCAATTTAGTTTGTTTTGGTTGCAATGCAAGAGTCCAATGTATTTGAAAAGGAAAATTGAGGCTTTAAAGAAATCTGGGGTTCCATGAATAGCTTCAGACCTTTCCCTCTGGGCCTCCCCAGAGGTAGCTGTTCTGCCTTAGGAGTTCTTGGTGGAAACCTTGGGAAGCACAGGCCCAGCTCCCTCACTGGATGGGGGGTATTCTGGGGTGATCTTGGGCCCCAGATCTGACTGCCAGTGCACCAGCTCTGAGTCCAACGGAATTTTGACCTTAACTTTGCTGCTGAGCCTTCCAATTTCCCCTCTGGGTCTAAGTGATAATCTCGTGTCTGGGCAGCTTGGCCAGGGCTGGGCATGTGCCCAGCTTTTCTTGGCGCCTCCCACTGCACCTGCTGCTCGCTGCTGGGGTATGGCACCTCCTGCACCAGCCTCCTTTTTGCTGGACGTGCAGCCTTCATACAGGACCCCAGTTCTCTCCCCGCCCTCTGGAGGCCCATGCCTCATTTTCCCGCCCTGCAGGTGGCCATGCTTAAAAGACTCTTAGTGTTAGGGACGAACCCAGGCCTGGCCCCCATCCCCAAGCTCCCCGCGCTCGGCCTGCTGCTTACCCATCACCCTGCTTTTCACTTCCATGTTTGTATACCGGCACCTGGGGATTTTCCTTTTCTTTTCACATGTTCAGATATCTGCTTTGCTACTGATTCCTGCATGAAACGCTGCCTCGAAACCCACGTCCAACCGTCTCTACTCATCTGCCTGGATAGAGAGCATGCGACTTCCTGGTTACAAATTCTTTAGGAAAGGTAAAACCAGGTAGAGGGAAAGAGGGTGGCCTCTGATGTGTGAGACAACTGGAAGTCTCCCTTCAAACATGAATCCGGTTCCTCCACATCTGGCAGTAGAAGCTCCCAGTGGGTACAGAAAGTTGGACCTCATAGCCCTCGTGCTTGTCCCTGTAAGGAAAGAGTCCTGGACACAACTCTTCATTTAATTTCCTAAGGGACATCTAAGACCAGGCTGGAACAGTTAAGTAAAATTTTACTTGTGACTTAAGAGATGACACAGAGGATAAACACAGGAAGGGAAAATACTCTAGATTATGAGGAAGACAAGAATCAGCTACCCCTGAGAAGCAGCGTTTGTCTTGAGAAGACGAATGTGTGTGTGTACGTGTAGATGTGTGTGTGTACATGTGTGTGCGTGTACATGTATGTACATGCTTTAAAAATAAAAATGAACAAGCTGCACATTAAGCAGTGAAAACAGATTTTGTTCAGTAACTGCTGATAGTAGGGGAAAGAGCTGAGCTCCATTCTGATTTGTGCAGAGGTGATGACTGGGCCTTTTAAAGGGAGAATGACGAGTCGGGAGGTGGAGCCCGCAGGGTTCAGGTAGAGTCAGGGAAGTGAAAGATTACAAAGTGTTGGGCAGTGTCCGTGTGATGAGGCCAGCTGTGTCTGCTAGCTGGCAGTTCTCCAAGCTAGGATCCTCTTCTGGAAGCTAGGACCCTCTCCCCCGACGGAGCCTGCGAGTCAGAGGCTCTGTCCTTCCTGATAATGACCTTGAGAGGAATGGCTTTCAGGTCCTTGAGAAAGACACTCCTGAGCTGTAGGCGACACATACACAGTAGCTCGGAGCCACAGAGGAAGGATTCACAATGGTGGGCCTCCTTTTTTAGCAAAGGGTGGTCAGGGGCCTATTGTCAGATGTTGGAGGAACAAACTAAATTCTTTTGACAGCCTTAAGCTTTTCCAGACAGCAACTGGAAAGGGAGCTGGGCCAGCCCTGGGACGCGGCCTCAGGCTGCCGGAGGCCATGCTATGGCTTCGAGGAGTCTCCGAGGGCAGGGTGTGAGTGGCGTGTTGGGACTAAGAGTTTCAGTGTCCCAGGTATACTTGCCTTATGAAACAGATACAGTTAAAAAAACAGGTGTGCCCACCACCTACACTGCTGTTGGCAGCATTTTAAAAGAGTACTGACCACTGCCATTCTCTACAACCCACACGGGCCCACTGTGGCAGGCCAGGAGTGCCGCAACCCCTCCCTCTAGAACCCGTTGAAGACAGCTAAAGAGAAAAACAGTACTAAAGATTCTTTGACCCATACAGGCCAGAGCAGTGCGTTCAAACTTTCTTGAACATGTATCAAAGTAAGAAACACGTTTTCTGTATTTCCTATTCTATTTTTTTCTTAAAATGCTGTTCACAATCCGTCAAGTTTATTTCATCACCCACTAATGTGTCACCCAAATCTGAAAGGTACAAGGTGGAAGGCATTGAGCTGGGCACACAGGGCAGGGCCGAGGGGAGGGGAGGCTGGCAAAGCCTTGTGTATTAGTCTATTTTCTTTTCTTTCTTTTTTTCCAAGACGGAGTCTTCCTCTGTCACCCAGGCTGGAGTACAATGGCACAATCTCAGCTCACTGCAACCTCTGCCTCCTGGGTTTGATTCTCCTGTCTCAGCCTCCTGAGTAGCTGGGACTACAGGCATGTGTCACCATACCCAGCT